TTATTATTATTATTGAACATAACTATTTAGAATTTGTTTTTTCATTACTTTGTCAGAAGCATAATTTAAATCTAATTGACTACCAATATGCTAGTACAACGCATTTGTAAGGTTTCAAATAGTACCATCTTGAGTATAAAAAAACGCAAACTGATTAAGTTCAGAATGTCAATATTTTCCCACAGTCTTTGAAACAAATAAGACCTTTTTATGTACACATAGGATGCATTCAAAACCAAGACCGAAATTTCAAATCTGAAAGAAAATTATCTATGGAATGTTATGCCTCACAACACTACTAGTAAGTAAATATAGATTTGGTATGAATGTGAAACCTTAGTAGGTATGCCTACTGAGATTTTGGGGAGCATATGAATTCATTCATTCATTGAAAGATTTATTTAGTAATTCTTTTAAGCTGAAGAGCTGGATTTTGTGTTTACTACGACTTTCATAGTTGAAGTGATGCCAGTTTCTCTTGCATTTGTTTCTCGCTGTCCGTGGTGCTGAATGTGATTGTGGTAATACATGTATAATGAAGATGTGTCCTTATTAGCAAAACCATGTTGAATGAAAATCTTTGAATTGATAGAAGCTAATTGTAATGAAGTCATATTGAAATTCATGTGCTTTCCTGAGACTTATTATTATATTGATTAAAAAAAAATAAAATAAAAAAAAAATACCGAATCAGTAAAGCAAATACGCATTACCTCATAACATTTACTGTGAAGTAGCTTTCTTTCCCGGGAACCCCCCAACTCCCACAAAAAAAACATTATTATTATTATTATTATTATTATTGTTATTATAACAATAAAATGTAATACAAAATAAATATAAAAATATTAACTGCTCACAGAAATGGTGTGAGACTTGTACAATGATTTTTATTCAGTGTGAATAATTTAGGAAGAACACAAAATTTGATTTTTGCCTCACTTTCTGAAATATTTTTTCTTGCTTAGAAAATGGTTAATCAGAGCAGTTTGCTGCACGAACAGAATCATTTTTGTTATTGGACAGAACATGGCGATGCTCCGTGTTTTGCAGTGAAGACACTTCCTGTATGTGTCCACATGGGGACATAGTAGACCATCACATTTCGGCTGGCTGTACGATATCTCGGGCTCCTCCCTTCTCAATACGTGTTTGAAAAACCACAGAGACAAAGGAATACAGAGAAGAACGAGGAACGGAGCAGCGACCTTTTTTTCTTTCTACGCTACAGTCATTATTATGTATTAATCTTTTAAGACCTTATGTTTAGATTTTGTAATCTATTTCAAGTTGAATGTAAATATGCATAGGCCGGATAGATCTGCGTGGATATATGTCGCCTTCGTGCTGGTGGATTGTTACTTGGAAGCAGTTTTCGGTTTACTCTCTTACTCTGTGTTAGAGGAAGTGGACCGTGGAAGCTTTGTTGGAAATATTGCCAAAGATCTCAACATAAACATCCAGGAGCTGGAATCCCGCATGTTTCAGATCGTTGCGGGATCGAAGAGGAAATATTTCGAGGTAAATCTAAGGACCGGTGCTCTGTACGTTAACGAGAGAATAGATCGGGAGGAACTCTGCGGTGATGAAGATAAATGTTCACTAAATGTCGAAGGAGTCATTAATAATCCACTTAAACTGTACCGCTTTGAAATTACAATCCTGGATGTGAATGATAATTCTCCGTCGTTTCCAAATACGTTGCTATCAATGAATGTCAGTGAAAACACGGCGACGGGGGCAAAATTCCCAATGAATCCTGCTGAAGATTTAGACGTTGGTAAGAACGCGGTTAATGCTTACAAGCTCAGTCAAAATAACTATTTTTCTCTCGTCACACATAAAGGAGAAAGTGTCACTCCTGAAATCGTGCTACAGAAAGCCTTGGATAGAGAAAAACAAGCTGTGATTCAGCTAATACTAATTGCCGTTGATGGAGGAACGCCAGCCAAATCAGGCAGTATGATCATAACAGTGAATGTTTTGGACAACAATGACAACGCGCCAGTATTCACGCAAAATCTGTACAAAGCTAGAGTGTACGAAAATGCTGAAATAGGCACGTCGATAATAACAGTGAATGCAACTGATTTGGATGCAGGACAAAATGGAGAGGTTGTTTATTCTTTCAGTGGAATGGGTCGTGGGAAACAAACAAACGTGTTTGAAATAGATAAAATGACAGGAACAGTAACAAACAAGAAGAATATTGACTTCGAAGAGAACACTGCTTTCGAGATTCGAGTGCAAGCCAGTGACAGCGGCACGTCACCGCTCACGTCACATGCTAAATTACTGATTGAAGTTTTAGATGTGAACGACAACGCTCCTGAAATTACGGTCACCTCCCTGTTAAATACGGTGAAAGAGGATGCGCCCATCGGCACCGCGATTGCTCTTGTCTCGGTATTTGACAGAGACAGTAGTAAAAATGCAATGGTTAACTGTGGAATCTCTAATAATGTCCCTTTCAAATTAGAGTCAAATTATAAGAATTATTATTCTTTAGTTGTGGGAGGACGTTTGGACAGAGAAAACGCGCCTCATTACAATATCAGCATCACTGCTACAGATGAGGGCAACCCACCTCTCTCCAGCAACAGCCTGATTTTTCTACACGTGTCTGATGTAAATGATAATACACCTATTTTTACAGAGAGCACAATAAACATATTTTTGAAAGAAAACAATCCAATAGGAGAAGTTATTAAAAAAGTGTCCGCAGTTGATCCAGACACTGATGAAAATGGTCAGGTTAGCTACTCACTTTTAATTGACAATAGTAACCCGCTGCCACTCAGATCATTGATAAACATAAATTCAGAGACTGGAGAAATAATAAGTCTGCAGTCCTTCAACTATGAGGAATTAAAAACATTTCATTTTAAAGTTCAGGCTACAGACTCTGGTGTTCCTCCACTCAGCAGCAATTTAACTGTTAATGTTTTGATCCTCGATGAAAATGATAATAATCCAAGTATT